GTTGTTGTTGTTGTAGTTGATGATGAAGATGCTGATCGACTGTCAACCCATTTGAATAAGGTAATGAGCAGTAATGTGAATATAGTAATTGATTTAAGTGAGAACAGCATTTTACTTGAAACAGAAAATTCTGATCTAATAATTGAAAGATGTTGATTCTTGTGGTGATGGTGATGATTATGGTGAAAACTATTATGATGATGATGATGACGAGGCTTCTGTTGGGGATGCTGATCTTTTTACTGATGGTGATAGTGATAGTGATGGTGATGCTATTGATCGACACCATGGTAAGCAACTAAAACAGGCAAGTTGAAGCTTTATTCTGATATTCTGGATTCTGGATGATGAGGAAGATGAGGATGGAGAGAAAGAAAGAAATTGAGATTCCTGGAGGCTGCGTCACCTTCTCATTTCTGTCTTTTTTACGAATTTTCTGCTCTCCTTTTTCTCTTTCTCTTCTTTCCTTTTGCCTGACTTTCTTTTCTCTCAGAATTGGCCTTTCTCTTTCTCTTTCTCTTTCTTATTCTCATCCAGAATCAAAGTAAAAATGAGATAACTGGGAGTGAGAATACAAGTGCATGTAATAGCTGATGTATGAAGCTGTAGATACTACTGATGATGTTGTTGCTTAAAGAGTTGGAAGATGATGATGATGATGAGAGAGAGAGAGAAAATGTGTTGTCTTTCCTTATTCGTCCATGGAAGATTCTAAAAATAAGAAGAGAAAGAGAAAAGGATGAGAAAAATTCTGAAACAAGAGGAAAGAGAAATGTAGTGAAAAGGAATAAGGATGATGAAGAGAGAGAGAGAGAGAGAGAGAGAGAGAGAGAGAGAGAGAGAGAAACAAAATTAGAAGAATAAAATTTTCTTCTTTTAAGAAAGCAAAGAGTTTTTACCAGATAGGTAATAATAAAAAAAAGAATAATAAAAATAGTATATTAAGAATACAATGAAATTGGAAGTAAAAATGAATCAAATTGAAACTTTTCCATGGAACTTAGGATGAGGTGATAAAGAGATTCTGAGATTTTTTCAGAACTTTTTTTCTACTCTCATCCAAATTGTCCGAAACTTTAATTTGAAACAATCAGTTGATTGTTTCATGATGTACTAATTAGGTACTTAATTTTCTATTTTGTTTTAACTCTTTTTTTTTCTTTTCAATTAACTATTACAATCTACTTGATGTGAAATAATCAATTCATTGATTCGTGTTGTTACTCATGTTAATTGTTGGTGTTAAGTTGATTAGTTTGTATGGGATGTGAATTTGAATGAGACAATTTATTATAATCATCATGTAATCATGATAATTAGACTTATCTCTCTCTGTGTGTATTAATCAAACTCAATTAACTATATTCCAACTGTTCATAAAATTTGTTGATTGTTAATAGTTAATTTTGATTGGTTTCCTTTTTGTTGTTGTTGTTGTTGTTGTTGTTTTACCTACAATTTGATCAATGATTAGCTTCTTAATTGTTAATAATTAATAAGCCATAATTATAATAGTTTAACTATTGATGAAAATTTGGTTTCTAGAAAATTAATCAGCTAATTGATTAAAGGTAAAAGAGAAGGAAAATTTTCTTCAGGTAATTAAGCTCGAATTAAATTAATAATTAATATCTCAACTTTTGAATTGAATTTTAATCATTCAAAATGTTGGAGAGGTTACTAATTAATTCATCTTTTTTTTTGTTAATACCCATATAATTATTAGTGATATATTATAGTTATCATTATCATAATTATCATTAATGGTAAACTTAAATCAAGGTAATTAGAATGGAAAAAGGTTAATTAGTAAGAGTTAGATTTGTTAATTGATGAAGATAGTTAATGATTTATATTAGTAACAGAATCAATAACTTCAATTAGTTCAAGTTTGATTCGTGTCAATTAAATTACTATTATTAGATTCTTATTGTTGTTAATAATGAGAAGAATGAGAAGAAAAATGATTAACTGTCTAAATCACAATTAAGGTGTAATTTGATAACTTTCCTCCATAGAAAGAAGGAAAAAGCTTTCACCTAAATTGTACTTGATGAAGATTAAACTGATCTAATCAATTGATTAGTTATCCATTAGATGAATCCAATTTTAAATCATCTCTTAATCAACTCGATATAAGATTTTGTTTTTTTTTTCAATCTCATTTGGTAGTTCCTGTTAATCTGGTCCATTTTTAGCTTGACCATTCCGTTTGAATCAGTTTTCAATTGTTGTTTAATTTTCGGACAATATAAATTGATGGTCATTTGAGTCTAAAAGAATAAAAAATAATCGAAAGAGGAGAAAAAATTAATCACAATTAAGTTGTTAACAAGATTGAAGAATTGATTGGATGATTGGAAGAGCAATTAATCTGAAAATGATTGTCGTTATTTACTAATTGTGATTTGTCATTTTCAATCAATTTCCAATTAAGTTTAATAACTGACAATATTTTCAAATTAAATGACCAACAGTAGATTAAAAATATACTCATGTAAGTATTAATTTGCTCTATTTACACTTGGTAAATACCATAGGAAAAAAAAGAGACATTTAAAAACTAAATAAGATTCACTGTTTATCATTATTAGCTGTTGATTGATGTTGATTAATTACTTATGTATAGGGTCCAACAATTTAGACGATTATCAGTTGAATTTTGTTGCTGATTAAACTGATTAAACAACAATGTCCATCCAAAATCAAAGGGTTGACCATCATCCTTGTAATGTTTTACATTTGATGGGTAATTAAAGAGTTAAATGTTTACAGGGAATGGTGATGACTTTTCAATGACATCATGTGATTCCATTAAGTCAGTTAATTGTTGAAATTTAATCTCATGGAAATATGAAACCAGAATCCAGACGAAAATAGTAATTCAGTAAACAAATAACGTTCCTTGTAGGGTTAACCTGAAAAGGTAAAAAAAATGAAAAATGAAGGTGAGAAAATGAAGAAAAAAAAGGTCAAATGACAACAGCGAAAGGAAAACAACAAAAGTGAACGAAATTTTTTCATGATTACCCGAAACAGAAAAAAAATCAATTTGAAAGTGAAAATTAATGGACCATAATGTTAACTCCATGGACTTGCATTTCCATGGTTCATTCTGACAGGAAAAAATTTCGTTCTCTGTTGACCCAAAGTGTCCAGTCTTTTTGATGTTCACTACTGGAAATATAAATTGAGAAGAACAAATTTTATAAAAGAGAGAGAGAGAGAGGTCAAAGGCTACTGATTTGGACCGATATTCATTTACCTATATTGGACAGTTATTAAGTGGTCATCCAATTAATTCAACAACTGTGTCAATAGATTTTTATCTTGTCTTGATAAAATTTGTTAGTTACTTTCAATAAGTAAGTCGTGTCTTCCAATATTGAGTAAAAATAAACCAATTTCTGGATTCACCGGTTTACACCCAACCAATTATAACTGTAGAACAGTTAAAACATCAACCATGTTGACAGAAAAACTTAAATCTTTAACGAATCAGGATTAGGGATTTGTTGATAGTTATTACCATTAATCCCTTTGAGAAAATCCTACACATCCATGAAGGGGAAAGATGGATCCATACAAATAACAAGAGTTACGCACTTAATAGATTGATTGATTTATTGAGGGTCCACTTAAAATCCTTCAAGGCGATGAAAGAGAGAGAGAGAGAGAGAGAGAGAGAGAGACAGAATGAGTGGCCAAAGGAGTAAAAAGAGTTAACTTTTTAGTTGCAATTTTCCTTTCTAGATGAAAATCTTTACCAGTTAAGGTAATTAGGGTGTTAATTAAAACCATTACCGAAAGATCCAGAAAGAGAATATAACCTTTCAACTCAAATTTCCTCGTTACATCAACATAATCTTTATCTGTATCTTTGATTGGGTAAATTGCTGCTGTCCACAAGTAGTAGAAGAAGAAGAAGATGAAGAAAAAGAGAATAGAATATGTTTAATACCAATAATGTTAATGAGCAGAAGGATCTGTTGTAAGAGAAAAAAAAGAAAAAAAGAGACAAAGGTTGTGAAATTAGTAAGAGAAAATGTGAGAGATGAAAGTTATAGGGATAAACACGATTACCTTTAACCTCTCTCTCTCTCTGTCTCTCTCTTTCTATGTAAAGTGACCTTACATGTGTATATACAGACAGACAGAATATGAAGTGACCTATGGATACTCAGGTGGAGAGACGACTTACTGGCGCCGTAACTTGTCTTCCCTTCTCTTTCACTTTTTTTTCTTTTCTTCCTGTCCACCACTACACCTTTTCTCTCTCTCTCTCTCTCTCTTTCTCTCTCACTTCTCTTTCTTAACCAATAACAACAGTAACACTTCATCTCCAATGTCCTTTACACCTTGACATTCAAGAGAAAGAGAGACAGAGAGCAAGAAGATGGGATATTTATACAGGTAATATCAATTAGAATACATATATTATAATAACACATACCAAATGAATTTCCAATTGTCCAGTAAAGTGATGACCATCCGATTTGGTTTTTCTTTAAACCGATCCACCGACGAGGTGTTACTTTTCTCTTCCTCTCTCTCTCTCTCTTTCCGAGTATCAAGATACAATAAAACATAATCACCAAGAAGAAAACAAAAGAGAAAACAAAATAAATTCTTTTAAGAGAAAAAAAAATAAAATAAAACGTTAGTTAAATTCAATTTTCGTCAAAATGGCGCCAGAAAAAATTCTCTTTCTACGTTAGTGTCTATTCTTTTTTCCCCTTTTTTTCCCTCCACAAGTTAATTTCTTTTTCTCTTTTCAATTGATTTAATTTCTTTAATCTAATTGTTAACCTAATTGTTGTTCTTTTTGTTTGGTGTTAATTTAATTTCTTTCTCATAATTTAGATTATTCTCTGTTAATATGGATTATCTTCTCTTTCTTTTCAAGCGACGATTTTGTGTCTCATTTACATAAGGAAATGATGGTTAATTTTTTCCAATGGTAATCATAATGTTTTCTTGATCTAATTAAGTTGATTTTGTTTTTTATTCTATTCTAATTGTTTTACTTTTTGTTGTTGTTGTTATTACTTCTTCTTCTTTAGTTAATTATTTCTTGATTAACCCTGGTGTTCCCATTTATTTCTCCCACGTTAATTGTGTTCTCTAATTTTCCTTAACCCCTCTGACTCTCTTTAACTCTTTGTCATTCTAATCCAACAAGTTAATCTAATTTTCTTTGGTTTACATTTACTGTTTCTTCCCATGAAAACATCAATACATATTCTTACTATTGCTAAATTGTGAAACTATGATTGATTGTACTTGTTACACTTTAAACCTCTGAAGGTGTTAACAGAAAATTCTGATATAATCAAATTATAGACAATTAATCGTAACTTATCCAATTTTCTTATTCTTTTTTAAAACAATCGTTTATATAGTAAAGGATTTTCTCCAGTACAAGTAGACTAAGTTCTTCTCTTTTTTGTTCTTTTTCTCTTTCAAATATTCTTCTAATTTGCAAATTATTCTCTTTTCCATTTTCTCAATCGTCATCGTCATTCCACCTCTAAAAATGGTTTCTAAAAATAATTTACTCTTATGTGTAATTCTGATCACAATTACGTTCGTCAATGTAACTGAATCATTCTGCTTCGGATTAATCTGCTCCTGTGTTCCATGGGTGTCTAAATCCTGTTGTGGTACTTTTAGGAAATGTTGTCTTCAATATCAAGCCTGGTAAGTTACATAATCTTTTATTACATAACTTATATGCTTATATCCTTCATAATCTTCATCTTTTCTTGTTCTCTAACCATTGAAAGATCTGAAGATCTGAAGATATATTATTAGCATGAGTGTCTCAATGACTCTTTCATTATTTTTTTACTTTCGCTCTTGAAATCATGTTTGGTAAGTTTACCATTCTGTTAACTCGATTAATGTCTCATTTCTTTACTCTTTTTTTTCTGCTTCTCTTGCTTTTATTTCTTATTGGATTCCCTATCCATCCCATTTAAGGTTAAGCCCTTTGATTGGAACTGAAGATGTTTTCTCTGAATATATAGATGCCATGGCTGGTGAAGCAATGAATGAAGCAGGTATTGTTGAAGGATATCCTGATGTTCCTGGTGGTCATATGGTAACAATTAATGATCCATCTCAAATTGCTGGTATTCCAATGATGCCTGGTCCACCTCCCCTTCCACCACATCCTAGCCCAGTGATAGCCGATGCTGCCTAAACATATCATCTTAATCATCAACAATTAGTCGTTGACAATCAACCAGAATTAAAACCAACCATCAATAATCATTAAGTAACTGTTTCTAAATTCAACACAACCAACGAAATTAATTGCAATCAATAATAATGGACCAATCAACGAAAAAGAAAGGAAAAGTTACCCATTCAATCAAATTAATCGTATATTATATGATTTAATTTTTATTAATCTTTTATTTTCATTATATTTTCAGATCTCTGAGATTAGGATGAAACAGATAATGTGTATAAAAAATGACCAACGTTTGCAATATAAGATTGATTATATTATTATAGAGAAAATTATTCAATACTTTTGAATAACTTTTTCCATCATCCAGTTAATTTATATATAAATCAACTTAATATATTATAATTACTTTATTTCTTATATAATGTATTTATCCTTAGTCAATAGACATTAATGACTAACCGGTCTGATTTAATTCAGAAAAATGAGATAATCCAATTCATTGGAGCACAATTATAATGTAATAATTTGTTTCATTTTCATAGTCAAGTTAATTGACAATTTACAATTTTAATGAAACCAAATTAAAAACGAAATGCTGATATTTATATAATTGGTTGATTGGATCAATTATTAACATCAGTTGACAATATATAAAAAATATCGTAATCATTTAGCTGGTTTGTAATTTAATGAGATATCTTTCACTTTAGGAATTAAATCACTTAATCTGGATTCAATTTCATCTTTATCCTCTTGATTGGTTGCATCTTTATCTGCTTTCAAACGGCGAACAATTAAATCTTCACATTCACGGAAAAGTTGATGGACTTCCAATGGTAAACACGATTTAAGTGATGTTAATAATTGCGGGACAAATTTTCCTGATGCATGGACCATAAATTGTTTACAAGAACCAAAGATCAATAAGACACAAAGATGTAAGATTAATGGATAATCTTTACCATCGGCTTCGTTTAGAGCGACAATTAAATTTTGGCGAAGTTCACTAATCATCTGTGTCTCTTTACGTTTGTCAACCTTTTTAATCATAATCTCACAGGCTTCCAATGTATTGTCCAGTTCGGTGAAAAAATTGTCCAACGTTGACTCGTTCAAAGTGCCAACTAATTTGGTAAAATTTTCTCTATATTTACCATCCAATTTATTGATAATCTTCAATCGACCCTGGAAAATGATAACAACAACAACAACAATTAAATGTGTGAAACATTTGTTACCAAAGAAGAAGAAGAAAAAAAGTTAATATTGACAATTAATCATCGTATTAATTAAAATCTGTTGGACTTAATTACCTCATTTGATGTTCCCATTGGTTGGCCAGTTCGTTGTCTCTCTTCATCAACCAGGAATAAAAGATTATCAACCAATTCTGAGCAAAGTGATTTAAGCAAATACTTTGATAGCGACGTTTTCAATTCCTCTGTGATTAAGCCGAAAGGATAAACGAATGAAAGATTAAATATAAACTGAATTTACTAAATTGGACGAGTTCAATTGTTGAACAATTCAAACGAAAACTTACCATCAAGAGTTTTAAGTCCTCGTTCATAGACACAGATATTACCATGTAAATTATTAATCGTATTCTGAACTTCAGTGACAGTTTTCTTAATGGAAGATGTTTCCTTGTTCATTGATTCATTGAATAATGAACGAGCAATCTCCATATACTTTGATCGAAGAGGTTCAATGAGAAAATTTGATATTAAATCAACAGAATCGGAATCATGTTCACCAGAAGGATCAATTTTACTCTTGACAACATCGATTAGTTCAGTTAAATCAACAGAGGAACTTGGATCATGACTGCCAGCTGATTCATCACATTCGGAACCGGAATCGTCACCTCCTCCTCCTTTTCGAGATGTTTGGAACTTTTTCTTAACGGCTTTTGTTTTCACCTCACGACCTTGAGTGGAAAAGGTTGTTTTACCTGCCCCACCCCCGGATCTTCCAGATCGTTTTCTTTCCTCTTTTCTTGAAGTTCCAGCTGATTTACTTTCTCCAGCTGCAGCTCGATCTCTGGACATTTGAGCAGCAGTAACGAATATTTTAAAAAGTAAACCCTCTTTAAGGTCTTTCGAAGCCTTTTCCCGGATAAGGTCGTTCAAAGGTTCTAAAAGGCTTACTGAATATTCATTTGAGATTAGAAGAGTATTATTTAAGAGAGTAAATTTATCGGCTTCACTTTCATTTCGAGATTTATATTCATCGATAAGTAGACCGATATCTTCCTCGGTTAATACTGAGGGTAGAACGTCAAGTAAATTGATCCATGATTTATCGGCAAGACAATCGTCAACTGCACCTTCTAATTGTAAGATTATACTGGTGCCCACACAACAGGTTGATAGGAATATGCAGTCTTCGAATCCTTGGCGTTTCTTCAATGATTTGGGCTCAGAAATTCCAACTCGAGCCAGAGCATCGTATTCAAGGATTCCATTGCTTTTATAGAAATTTTCAATCCATTCTTTTTGGGTTGTTGAGTAGATACTCGGGATAAAGGTTCGATTAAGTCCTGATGTTAATTGTCCACTGATTCGACCTGATTTCAATAGTTCATCGAAAACAGCTGAGAAAAATCAAGAAAATATCAAATATTATTATTATATAAACATTGAGAATCTCTTGTTTGAATTTTAGATTAACTTACAATTGAATATCCTCTCTGGGAGTCGATATCTGTTTACAATTTGTGATAAAACCAATGGTCGAGTGATGGCTGAAAGGATACCGGTAATTTTGGCCTTATATTGGTCGATGTAATTTCGAGTGAAAAAAGTTGATGAGTTGTTAATATCTTGAACACCGTCAATTGTTGTACCAAGATGAGAGACAACAATTTGATTGATATAATCACTTGGTAGGGAATAAGCTTTGGACAGTTCAGAGACATCAAGTACTCCTTTTTTCTGTAGTTTTTCATTAATTTCAACGGCTAATTGTTCCTTGTAATCACGAGAAATAAGCTCTTCATTGACAAAAGATATAAAACCAGATGAAGATTTAGCGACTTCTTTAGCTTTTACATCAATATGACTAAAATCAACATTCAGGGTATTCGCCAATTCAACCAAAGTTATTCGTCCATTGGCCACATATAATTCATCTTTAATCTCTTTCATCAAATAATCAGGAGTGATATATTCTTTACCATCAGTAGTATAGATTACGTCAATCAAATTTAATCCAACCAGTTTTTTAACAATCTCAATGCAATTACGTTCAGAGAGACGTTGAAGTGTAACCGCTGTTTGGGTCAACTGGAAATCGGCAGCTAATCTTTTCACTTCTTCCCAATCGGAGGCCATTTTTTCCCCAAATTTTCCTTTAAACTCACAAACTAACAAACAAAATATAAAATATTAACAATTAACAATTAGATCCAAGAAAAAGAAATAAAAACAATCAAATTAATAGGAAGAAAAATTGATTTTCCATTTGGAAAAATACAAAAAATTCAATCAATTGCCACGCATCCAAAATGTAAACAAACATAGAGAAGAAAAAAAGAAAGAGAAAAAGAAAGAGAAAAAAAGAAAACAATCTACCAGCGCCATCTAGTGTTTCGAAATCGTAACAAAGTAACGATAATGTTAATTAACTTTTTCTTTTCTTTTCTCATTTTTTTACAACAATTAAACAATTAAGAGAATCGAATCAAATGAAAACATCAATCGAGATAAATATATAACAATTAACTTGGAATGAACAAGTGACAAAGATAAGTGGTAATAAAGAGAGAAGGAGAAAGAAAAAGTTTGAGATGATCAGAGGGCATGGATTTTTTTTTCTCTCTTGACCTCAAGCAACCTGTTTAACCCTTGAGGGCGAATGACAGATAATAAAAAAAAAGTATTCTACAAGAGGAGATGACCTCTGGATACTCAGGTGGAGAAGCGACTTACTGTCGCCGTATCACTTGTATTCACTTTACCTTTTCCTCCCCCGATTATTGTTATTGTTTCACCTTATTGACCAGTGTCCACCCTTCACATACACAACTGACCCTCCATATATATAGAGAGAGAAAGAGTCTCACACAATTTAAGAAAGTGAGAGAGAGAGAGAGAGACAGAGGGAGAAAGAGGACAAGTTACGGCGCCAGGTAGACGACTGTCCACCTGAGTGACCATAGGTCACTTCGGTATTCTCGTGTCTGTTAACTACACTAATCCTTAAAACAAACTAATCCTTTCAACAGAGACTTTTAAAAAGGTCCAACAATTGTTACAACAATTAACAAATTTCCAATATTTCCAATCTGATACAATTGATTCTCTCAATTTAGATCAATAATAATATCATTTTATTCAATTATTAATTTTATATACAATTTAGTCTACAATTATATGAGAAAAACAAAAAGTTTCATCATTAATTGTAAAAACTTTTGTGGATTTTGATTTGATTAGTTAAACAATTTAATTTTTTTTTTGGCTTAAACAATTTATATATAAGTAGGTTAATCTTAATAATTAAAACTAGAAATTGATAAATGCTAAATTGTGATAATATTTTTGTCTCTTTCTGATAGACAAATAAAATTGATTGTACAATTAGTTGGATTGTTTTGTATCAAATTAACTAAAAGGAAAAAGATTACAAATTAATAAGATGTTAATTGTTGTTTGGTGAAAATTTAGTTAATCATTAGGAAATTGTTCCTAATCAAATTGATTCCCTTCCAAAGAGTAAAGAAAAAGATAATCAAGCTCTTTATGAGAAAAGAGAAGCGATAAAACATTTCGACCTGAAGGATTATTACACTTTTTCGGCGGGAGCGATGCGCGTTTTTTAGGTTACTTCGAAAAAAGATCGAATAATTAATACACGTCGATCATATAAATTGGGGGAAAATCTATCGGCAGGTAAGAAGATCAACTTGAGATGACTTTTAGTTGCATCAGAAAACGACTTAGACCATTTTTCGAGGATTTTCCGCGCCAAAGATTAGATCGAAAAATAGTCGGTGGACATTTATGAGCTTCTCAAGATCTTTGAGATTAGGTCAAAATCGATAAATTAACCTTGTTATTGAGGTAGAAAAGGATAACAACAGCTCAGGCCGAAATGTTCTATCGACATTTACTGTTCTCTCTTGTTCTTTACTCTTTGTTCCCGTTTGTTTGTGGTTTGATTTTTTAAATTGTTATTAAAACGTTTGTTTGTATTGTTGATTTAATCAAATTTTGTGGCACTTTGAAGAGATTGATGATTCCTTAATTGTTGATTTATTTTGATCAATTTTCGTTGTTTAACTTTCCTATTAGTTACACCATCAGGATCATCCATCATCTTGATTAATTTCGCCTGATCACCAGCGTCAATCGGAGCAATTGAAATATCACGAACAGCTCGAAATTCACCACAATTGTTTAAATGTTCATTTTCGAGGCGAAAAAAGTTCCAAATAAAACGACGGAAAATCTCAAGTGGAGCCAAAATGGAGACCATTAGGTCACCATGGACAATACCGATCTCAGTTAACGAGACTGATAACGTCCAACCAAATCGAAGAATTAAATCTTCACATATTGCAAAATAATAGAAAGCGGGTGAAGAATAGACCATTTCTTCCCGAAGGAATGGATATTCGGAGGGCGATGAAGAATCGAAAAGCCCCCAGTCCATTTTAATATCCCAAGTGTAAGTATAACAAGAAGAGAAAATAAGAGCGATAATCCATAAGGTGAAAAATGGATTATCGGTTGATTCCTCGTAAGAGGGTTGATAGGCTTTGGTTAGAGTCGAAAATAGGACAACGAAAAAAGTGGTCGAATATTTTCCCGCATTAACTAAATGGGGAAAAGGACCTCGATTATCATCATAATAACGACGAAGACATTGACAGAATCTAAACCAGGCTGGAAGACAATTTAAAGCCGCTCGACTAATCACTTCAACTTTAGTTCCACCCGAACATCGTTCTAATCAAATGAAAGAGAAAAAAAAAGAAAATTAAATTCTAATCATCTTCGAGTCGATCAATTAGTTGAATCATCATCATAATCAATTCCCATGTCGATTTAATGAACAAAGTATCATTTCGTTTGCGAAGATCAGGCTAACAAGATGATGAAAGAGAGAGAGAGAGAAGATGAGATGATGATGAGAGAGAAAGAGAGAGAGACTGAGCATGACTTTCGAACCGAAAGTGGCGGTTCCAAGGGAGAAACTCCTCCTTTTTTCTTGGATCTGTGAGGATAAAAGAGACAATTTTTCTCTTTCTATTCTCACTTGACTCTCTCTCTCTCTTGTCGTGTTTTTTTTTGGTGTTTTCATTTCTACGGATAATCCATAATCTTTTTTGTGGCTTTTCAGTTCTGTCTTTTTCTCTGTTTGTTGTTTTCTATCTCTCTCTGTGTGTGTAAATCAGTTGATCCTTTTCACTTGACAACATCAACACCCTGGAATCTAACATGTGTTTAAAGGCTCGATTCTCTGAGCCTCCTGAGATGACAAAAATTGTTCTTCAAGGATCATCGGTTACCATGGAGGAAGAGGTTCTTCTTCATCGTCTAGTCAACTTATTGGACATTAATGGTCGAGAAATAACAGTCGTCGATCTTTTGAAAGAGGCAATGGCTTATATTCGTGATTTACAACAAACTCTCTCTTAATCATCTGTTATTTATCATTAATCGTAAATTATATTCTTCTCAGAGATTCCTTCTTACCGTGACTTGAATACCAATTATCTAAGGCACCAGAAAAGACTGAAATGTAAAAGCAAATAAAATATTGAATATCAACAAAAATCGGTGACATGCTATTCAGTTGATCGGCAAGCCAAAAATCTGCGAATTTGACTCGACAAAAAGGCGCAGCTAAACATCGTCCCTGTTGGAAAAGAGATTTTTAGATGAAAAAATTAGATGTTATTAGATTTATGATTAATGATCGAAATTGTTTCAGCTGATTGTGTAGAGTAAAAGGATAAAAACGATAAAAACGATCTCCGATTACATTGGGTAAACAAAAGAGTGAGAGAGAGACAGAGAAATAGAGAGATAATATTCTTACCATGATTCTTAGAAACCAGAATCTTGCATTTCGCTGAAAAGTATCGGTTGGATTGAAGAGAAAGAGTAACATGACCAGAACAAGAAGAAGTGGATTAATTATTTTGGGAACATGGAGATAATCACTGTAGAGATACGAGATGACCGAAACTGACCAAAGAACTGATAAAATTGCTGCTATTTCAATGATGTGCTGTTCGGAGAGATGATCTCTTGGATCAAGTTCGAATATGAGAACATGATTAACACCTGAGGTTCTCCAGCCATAGACGTTAATACCCATTAGAAAGAGGAACAGAATAACCAGAAAAGTGGCCCGATAGAGACGAAATGTCATGGTAAGATTATTCTGTGGATCTCTGAACACTCCGGTAATCAGAACGATGGCAAGAAGGATGACAAATGCTCCAGAAAAAAAGCCAACCTTAAATGTTGTCCATTGACTTTGCTGATCGTTTAAAGGTGGAACTCGAAGTCGTTTCATTGCTCTTTGTCGATGACCCTCTTCCAATTCTGAGGTGAATAAATTTTCCGTCTCTTCGATCAATTTTCCAATCTCTTTGTTCAGGTGGAATGGTGCATTTTCTACATGGGCTCGTCTCCATTTGAGTCCTTCATCATTTCCCAATAATTTATCATGTTTCTTAAGAATTTTAACAAACCCTGTAAAATTTAAATTCTGATAACTTTGAAGTAACACCAAACTTAAATAAAATTCTGAGAAACCCAATTTCAATTCTCTCAATTTTCGATTACGAGCTCGCTCATCGGCTTTTTGTAAAATAAAATCTTTCGCATTTAAAAGGCTACGAAAATTACCATCATCATCTCGTCGTGAACTTGGATCATCAAATTTAGATTTAATTAGAGTTAATTCATTTTTGAGGGTGGAAAATTTTCTAGTCGCCTCGGCAAGTTTCTCGGCGAAAAATATATTTATCTTTGCCAATTCTTTCTCACAGAAAGATAAATATTCCTCATCGAAGGCTTTATTATAACGAGTTATCTCATCTCGATCAGCAACTAATGTGATGGAAGAAAAAAAAACAAAATAAGAAATCAACATATCAGCAAACATTCAGAGAGAGAGAGAGAGAGAGAGAGAGAGATGAACGCAAAGACAAGAAGGCTTATCGGTCAAAATAAACATCGACCGATCGGTGCTAAGAACTGAAAATTTATATTGACAATCCGATTGTTAAGTCAATAGAGTTGATCACAAGGAAACAAGATTGATTGTTCTTGATTATTTGGGTTAATTTAAAGTGGATTAAATTGCTTACCTTCCGGTGATGGTTGCCTTTCCATTGCACTGTAGAGCATATATTTCATTTCTTCGTAGAGAATGTATTGTTTCCGCCATTCTGGTGTAATTAAAGCGGCTAAATGTTCAGCGAATTTCATCTTCAACTCAACAGAACGAGGTAATTGTGATGGTGATTAAATTAAATTGGAAGAGAATTTGAAATTTGTATTAAAACAAAACAAAGAAAAACGGATTGAAAGGTAATGGGTAAAACCGTTGGAAACAAAGGATTGTTGTTGTTTTCCAATTTGATCGAATAGAATCAATTTCGAATCAAATTTTTTCCTCCATCATTCCAATGTGTTGTTGATGATGATGATGGTTAACTAATTGATGATTAAAAAAGGATGAGAATAGAAAAATAATTAATCAGATGAACATGAAAGCAGGAAAATTATTAATAAATATGAAGAGACTGAGGCAATAAAAATGTGATAGGAAAAAAGCATAAAGATAAAATAGCATTTGATTGTTTACTCCCATACATTGGGTTTAGAGTTAATTAGAAACATTAGAGATGATGTTGATTAAAGGCAAGAGATGATAATAAAAATTGATTACTGTTAATTAGCAAATAGTTAAAGTAACACAATAACAATCAACGAGGATCAGGTAAAGACTTACAGTGTTTATTTACAGTTAATCTTGGATCAAAATGTTTCAACCTTGTTAGTTAAATAGTAAGTTGATTGATTGATTTTCTTTACTTTCGCAAAGATTTCACATATTACCACATCAATGAAGATCTTTAATAGTTAATTAATTGTCCTTAATTGTATTAAAATCTAACACATTAATAATAATTATCATTTTCTTAACATCAGTAAACAAAAATGACGAAAAAAAATCAAAACAAAGATTCACTGCCATCTAACGGCGATTAAAGTAACTACAAACTCGAACTCGAACTCGAACTTGAACTAAATTAGTTAATTAACTTTCCATCTGATTTAATGGAATCAATTGAAATTACCATTGTGGATTAACCTTCGATTTGTTTGATTTTTGTTCGACATCAATTAAAAATAGTGTTCAAGTTAATCAACTGATTAGTTTGATTCCTCTTCCCCCCATTTTCATTATTGCAAACAATTAATATCGATGATGATAATTGTAAAGAGATTACTAATAATTAATTGACTCTTAGGTTTCAGATAATAATAATTGTTACTAATGAAACAGAATTAACTGATAAATTGATTTTAGGTAAATTGTTAGGGAGATTAATACAAGTGAATTAAATTTAATCCCAATAAAGTTGAACGTAAATCTTACCAATTGATTAGAAACGATTAGCTAATTGTCTTAATTGTATGTAAAAGATTAATAGTCAATTTTGTTACAATCAAAGTGATATAAAAGTAAAGGGTAAGAGAGGATAATCGAAATCGAATGGTTCAAATGATGATAACTCGATAAAACTGATGTTCAAATGTCGATTAGATCGTCGATTGAATAATCAAAGTTAATTGTTAATGAATGAATTAAATAGCAGCTTGAATTGATTAAAAGATAATAATAAAAACAAATGGATGAAAAAAAAAGGTAAAGTTTCAGGTTGACAAAAGTAAAAGGTAAAAAAAAGAGATTGAGAAAAAATAATCTGCTCGAATCTGTAGAAACCCTTGGGATATGAATCCATCTGTCTCCCTCTGGTTGTTGAAAGTGAACTAGTAGTTTGTCATCATCATCATCATCTGATGTGCTTGTGTGTGTGACTTGAGGTCAGCTGGTTCGTGCGAAGCCGCGTGCTGAATGTACAAACAAGAAAAACTCGTCGAGCTGACAGAAGCTTCAATTTTGTGTTCTAATGGTTTTTACCTGATGCTTAGTGAGACTCACAAGCAGCAGCTACACTTGGGTTAAAACCAGAGGGCTCAATGGATGCTGGATGTTGGGTGAAGGTGATGAGGATGAAGATGATGAGAGGCATATGTTGCCTGGTCTAATATCTGTATCTCTCTCTCTCCTCTCCCTCTTCTCTCTCATCTGATACAAAATCAAGTACGATGTTCACACGATGTTTCCGGATGAATTTTACCCAAATAGAACAACAAAAAACGTACTAATAATAAACTCGATCATAACTTGAGAACTTAAAATTATCTTTTCCCATTGGATTGGCTTGTTTTTTTTACACTGGACATTGTTGTCCTTTTCCTTAGGTACAATTTACTGATTGCTGTTTAATTGTCTACTGTTTCTTGCAATATGAGAAATTGTAATTCTCTAAATGCTGTAAATTGAACAAAATGGTCTAAGCTGATTCCGTTTTTTTCTTCTTCTTCTTCTTTAAACTTTGTATATGTACTGTTATTCGTGTGGGACCTTAGGCCATAAGGCGACACAAAGAATAACTTTTTAGAAGCTCTTTAGGTCACAATCGCTTTCGCTTTCGCTTTCATCTCCATCCTCATCACTCACAAAGCGACAACATTATAATTATCATATATTCAAATTTCTTCGAGATTGTGGGCGGAAGAAAGAGGAAGAAGTAAATTAAACTTTTCTCGATAGAACATAGAGTTCGAACTGATCTGTGTTTCGATGAGCGTTGCCCTCTTCTCTTTTTCTATTATATCAACAATCAAATTTTAGTTAATCAAATTAGCGAGCATACAATTTGATTGTAGAAATCAATTTATTCAATTTTAGCTCCAATTTTATACAATATATCGAGATAAATGTTCAACAATTTAATTTGATTATCATTTAATGTATTTGACAAATGTCATATTTGATTGTTGTTGTATTTCAATTGAAAATCAAGTTACATTATTTTGATTATCAATGTAATTAAATTAAATGGATTAAGGTATTAGTGCTAACCCATAAGTAGATTGTTAATCCACTGAATTGAAAATCAAAAATTACTCTTGAAATGATTAACTGTTGGTCTGTAATCTTAATTGTTGCTATTGGTAAATTATTTATAAGTCTTAATCAATTGGTGAATTTGAAATTCACCTTCAACAATCAGTTTAATTGTTACTTGTTTTGTGTCTTTATTTTTGAAAGTTGATCCGTTAAAATGATAACAATTAGATTGACAATTAAGTTTGATAAGATTATGCAAAAAAGGAAGCGGAAGAAGATGATGATCATGAAAAGATAATTTCATGTGAAAATTACTTCGAGCATCGATTTTGACAAAATAAAAGTTCTAAAGATAGAACTGTAAGGGAAAAAAAATTTTTCGAATTTTTTTTATATTCTAATCAGTAATTTGGATCAACATAAGGCAATTTAATTGATCACCAACTTAATTCTGATCCAAGTATCTAATTAATTTACAATTAGTATCATCTAATGATTAAACAATTGATTATGATGAAGATTTAATCATTTTGAAAATCAGTTGTGAAAGATTTGTGATTAAAGTTGATCGCTAATTGTTGGCTTGATTTAGATTGTTGATCTCTTCAATAATAACAGCTCATCGAGCAATCAGTTAATTGTTGTCCAGAGTAAGTCAAACAAGTTCATCTTAAGGAAGAGGAAGACAAATGATGACTTTTACCTGAAAACCCAGGTAACCTTGACATGGAAAAGAAGAAAGAAAATTTCTCTCTCATTGTTTATCTTCCTAGAAGATGAAGATGATGGATAAGGATGATAAAAGTTCTAGGGCAAATGAAAGGCTTTGAAAGTTAATTGTATTAGTAAATCAAATTGTTATATTTAACTAACCCTTCAATTAGAGTTGAGCAAAGTTTTAGCATCTTTAACTGATAAAGGATAATGAAGATGAGGATGATAATCATCTTGAAAAAAAAGGATAATAATCTATGTCAATGTTAATGATTAACTAATAAATCTTATCTCAATTAACTAATATAATTAACTCAAGACCAATCAAGTTACCTAAGAAATTAAAATGAACCATTTTCAAGAGCATTTGTTTATTATTGATCAAGAGACTCCCGATGTCTTTTCATCATCTGTGAGGGAGTAACACAAGAGTGAGTATTAGTGAGAGAGGAATCCAAGTTATCATCTCACCCATTTCTCATCTGTCGCTGTTTCTCATAATAAAGAGAGAGAGAGAGAGAGAGAGAGAGAGAGAGAGAGAGAGAGAGAGAGAGAGAGAGATGATGAGAGGAAAAGGCTGAAGATGAGGATGAAAATTACACATGCTTTCACTTCCGTTGTGAGTTACTTGTGGTTAGGAAAGTAACTATTTCTTTAACAATTAACTTGATCCGGTTCGTGTTTTTTGTTTCTTCTGTTTGATGTTTCATGAATTTTAATTGCTCGAAAGAGAGAGAGAGGTTAAAATTTACCTTTGTCAACGATCATTGATTACAATTAACATTAATTAGCATCGCAACTGATTATGTCAACAATTGGGTGAACAAGGGAAATCCATAAACAATATGGAATCAGTTGATTGTGTAAAAGGTGTAAAGCGAAACGAAGTTAAACTTAAATGATTACCTATTTTTATGCTGTTTTTTTCTCCTTCATCATGATGAGAATCATCATCATCTTTATAAATCCATAGTCGAAATAAGGTGAACATATTTGAACAACTTCCGTTGAGCAGCGATTGATGCGAATCCAACTTCCGATTATTAGATGTTAAACTTAAGTGTTAACATATGAACATACATAAAGTGAAGATGAGAAAGATGATGACGATAATTATCATAAAAAAGAAGAAGAAAAGAGAAACTTTCGGTTCTAATTTGGTCTTTTTCTAATATACAAGTTCGATAATCTTTTCGGTTCTATGAGCTTCACGGTCAACAGGTAGTCCCTCAACTCGAAGGCCAAGTTTTCATCCGAACTCAATAGTTAACTTAATTTTGTTCAATTCGATGACTAGGAAACTGTTTCTCAGCCATTTTAAAGCTGCTCTTCTCGTAATTAATATTCACAATCAGTTGTTACCTTGTTTCCGGTTGTTAGTCTAAAATATCATAAACTTAATCATCTCGACTAATTAATAATTGATATTCTTCAGCATTGATTTGTAAAAGTTAACGATAAATTATCAATTTTTATGAAATTCAAGTTCAATTTAAGCTACACGACTTTGATTGTTCATCGATGTTTTTTTTAATTGTTATGTTATTGATTTCTAGTTGAAGTGTATTGATAGATATTTGATTGTTAATCCTAATGATTAGTGCGACAATTGATAACTAATTAGATTGTGATTGTAGGAATTTATATAAATATTATTAGAATTTTTTCTTCCTCTTTTACTATTAGTAGAATCTACGTTTTTTTCATCTTCATCATCTGTTCAACTTTCACTTTTACATCCTCCTTTCATCGTTATCTTCATCATCTGTATCATCATCTGCGATATCATCTGCATCTTCATTCTCATCTTCAGAATTTTTCTCTTTCTCTATTCTATTTCCTTCTGATCTATTCTGAGCGCTCATCGTTTTTTACTTCATCAAATCAACTTCCGGAGGCTCTCTAAGACTTCCCACTCCCACCTTCTCCTCCTCCTCCTACTCTATCTCCCACAGTCTCTCTTGCAATTACATTAGACTCCATAAAGATCATCACCATCATCATGTATTTTCACCGGAAACAGATAAGCAGCAAATTAACATGGACTTTTTTTTTCTCAAAACGCAAACAAAAACAAACATCAACAATATCGGTGACAAGAGACAAGGTCATTAATTATATTGAATCAATGGCCTTTAATTGTCACAATTAGATAGCAATCGGTGTTGATGAGACTGATAATTTGTATCCACGAGGAAAAATTGAAAAGTTGATCATGATAATGATCACAATTAACTAACCAGATTGAAAATTTCACAGTGAAAAACATGGTAACCATTTGTATTTGAAAGCCACTGGTTCGTTTGCTATTCTGATGATACAATTGAATTGGTTGGACTTTGTTGTTGATGTTACCATTTTGTGTCAACATTTGTCAACTTCCGGTCAGCATACGAGAAAAAGTAAAAGAAAAGAAAGAAAAAATAATAATAAAAGATGAAAAAAGCTTAAGGGTGAGGCTGGAAACCTTTGGTCATCGAGAAAAAAGCGAAGAAGAGAAAGAGAACAAAAAAATTCTAATCTAATCTTTTGCTTCTCATCCTTTCAACTTTATCATATGTTTCCTAGTATGATGATGATGATAAACAAATGTCATCCTGATAATAGTTGTACTAAAACAACAATCGTCTATTTTGTCAAATAGACTGAATTTAACATAATTTCAACAATCAAAGAAAAAATTATCAACAGTAATTAATGAAAAAAAGTAAAAAGATTCTTTAAAACAAAAAGCATCCTCATCACTTGGGTTTCCATGGCAACTTGAACCCTTAACATGAAAGTCTTTCTTAAGTAAACAATTTCATTTCCTCAGGGCATCAAGGCTCAATGTTTCATCATTCTCTCAATATTATCCATCTTATCATCAAGTTCATCAGTAATAATGATCAATAATATAAATAATACAAGAGAGAGAGAGAGAGAGAGAGAGAGAGAGAGAAGGTAAATAATTTATTACCTTTGGAAAAGCAAAACTTATTGGAGAAAATTTTCTGATTAATGTTTTTCTTGTAGCAATTTCCATACACTTTTGTGTCATTATTTAAATTGCAATCAATTTCTCTGATGATTTGAATTAATAATCAACAGCAAAAATTTGTCATCACAGTCTGATAATAATCCAAAATTCATCCAATGATAATTTCCCAACAGGATTAAAAGCATTACAATTAAACTCCCAGTTCTTTGTTTTTTTTTGTTTGACAAAATGCTAGAAAACAGCCAAGAGGGCGACACCATCTGTCAATTGTTTATATATATTCATATGTCTATATGAGCTCGAAAATCCCACCCGGTCAATACCCACCACCCACTACCCACCATCTTCAAAGGTTCATGTTATGGGAATTAAATCCAATTATTAATCATCACTTATCATCATAGTACATTTAATATAATAAATTGGATAATATTACAAATCCACCAGCTAATATATGATAACTCATAATATGAAAGAGGAAAAATTTTTTTATCCCTAATCACAATTAACCAAATTGTTACTACATGATGATTAATTTAATCACATTTCCTTTGACCCTTGTACATGTAATATTAGATAATCATTAATTGTTAATCCATTGACAGATGTAAATTGTTGATCAGTTGATATTATTACAATTCCCATGTTAATTTAGATACAAGTAAACACGTGGCTTAATCATTAATCTAATAATAATGTTGATCAATTGATTGTTAATATTTATTATAGTTAAGATCAATATTGATTATTTAACAGCAATTGTCCGATTGTTAAGTTTTAATTAGACTGAAATTGTTGTGATACTTTTTAATCATCACCATTATTTCAAAGTTAATTGTCTTCATGTTTTATGGTTAATTGTTGATAAATTTTGAAGCGTTAAAATTGATCATTGATCCATTAGTTTGACGATAATTTTGTTTTCATGTTATGATTAGTTTGATGATTGATTTAATTGTAGTTGGATTCAACCTGTTGTTTTTTCAAGGGTTAATTGTATTAGTTTAAATTTAAAATCAGTCTGATGATCATTTGAATACTTAATAGTTGATAATTAACTGAATTCTCATGATAATGATAATGATGGTGAGAGAATCTGAACATTTCAACAATTCAATCATGTTTGAAACTGAATCTTCTAGGTAATTGTTAAGCTAATTGTTGACTAAATCAATGGATTGAAAATTATACAATAAACTAACAAAGTGTTACCTGTGATAATAATAAATCTTAATGATGATCAACATCATCATCATCATGTTGAGATGATTAAGTTGATTGTTACGATGAAAGAAATGCTTAAGAATGACTTAGATTCTTGAACCGGAAAGTGAGGTAAACTATTGGATAGAAATCGTGATCAACAGTAATTAAAATTTTCTATGTATTCATTTGCTGTTTCCTTTTACTCGGATCACTTGTTAATTGTTGTTGTTAAGCTTCAATAATTAATTGTAATCATATGAACAAATATTCAAATTATCGGGTAACAAAAAGGCAACTAAACTTTACCTCAATCTTTTTCTGTATCAACTCATATTTCCATAAATGATTCTCATGGATACCAATTAACTGTTTCCGATTTAATTACTCACACAGAAATCACATTCTGCTAATTATAATCAACTAATCAACTAATTATTGTCATCAAGTTCTCGAAAAAGTCAACTAGCTCCATCTATCGATCAGAATATCAACTGAAGTTCGGTGAAAATTTTAATTGTCCAAATGATCAATTAATTTTTTTTTCCATTTTGATTATGATTAATAATTAGCGATTGTTTTTTTTTTGTTTAATTGTAACAATTTATTTTTGTCAATAGTTGAATCATTGGCTAACACATTGAGAAGACAATTGAAAAGAGGAAGGCCTCATTAGCGAATTGGTAAATTTGTATATTAATCAAACTGAATTAAAGTTAATTATGATTAAGAGAGAGACAATTTGTTTGTTTTGTTTAATTTGTTTCGCTGTTGAATATTACAATTTGTCACTAATTAATTGAAATTGTTTAATTTAAATGATCGTTGTAATCAATGAAACAATTAGTTTACAATTTGATTTCATTTAAATCAACTCGCAATTTTCCTCACACATTCAATTGAATTAATCATAATTAAACAATTAATTAGTTTAATTGTACAATCACTATTATTTATTATATATATATATAGTATTTCATTTAATTAAAAGGTTAATCAGTAAGATGAAACAATTAACTAGTTTTTTTTTCTTGATTGTAATTCAGTTCAATTGAGATTTACGATTTGATGGATTTGTTGATAAACTTTCAAAAAAGGTAAATTGATAATTAATTAATTGTGATGATTAAAGATGAGTTTGTTGATGATGATGAAGATGACGATGATTGGAAGATTATGATAATCATGATTTAATTGTGAACAATTTGAAAATGATTATGAAACCATAGGAAGAGTTAATTATTTTAATCCAAAAGTTGATTTTAAAACAGATTGATAACAATTAAGATGATTTCTGGTAATTAATAACAATTTATGATGATGAAGATGATGATTAAAAACCAATTACAGCTGATTAATGAAAATTTATTAATTATATTGTATATCAGGCAGTGAGCAGTTAATTGCATTGCAATTGATCAAATTGTTTTGAGGTTAATTGTTAATCTCTCTCTCTCTCTCTCTCTTTTAATTCAGTAATTTAGTTAATCAATCAGTTGATTTCCTTTAATCTGGTTTCATGATAATTATGAGCGAGTTGATTTATAAAGTTTTCCAGGACTTTTGCTTGACCAATGTCCACTTTTTGAATTAAAAAATGTCCAAACTAACGAGAGTAAAGTAATGACTTAATTATAACAATTTAATTGTTGTTAATGAAGATGATTAAAGATGAAAATTGGCCATTGTAATAGATTTCCAGACAATTGCAATTTAAAAAAAGATTTTCTCAAAGCCAAACAATTAAATTAACAATCAGCAATCAGTTTGAAAATGTTGCACAAACATCAGCAATTACAATTAAAGAAAGAGAGAAATTAAATTAAATTTGATTCGATTCTTTTAAACCAAACTTTCAATTCAATTTGAATTAAAGTTAAAGATGAAGATGATTAAGTAGATGAAGATGAGGATGATGATGATGGAGATAATCAATTAAATGGTTAACAATTAGCTGATCATCTTTGTCGTTGTCGTTAGTTGTCAATTTGATTGAGTTTTTTTTGTTTTGTTTTTGTAATGTAATTGAATTGATAATAAACAGTATTGGCTTAATTGTTTGGCAATTTTACCGCAAGATTTGATGATTAATTGGTTGGCATTGTTAACAATTTAGAATCAATTACAATTACTGGCAGAGGATTAATGTTTTCGTTTCCCAAATGAAAAAAACATTTAATTACTAAAAAGTTTTCACTCCATAGGCTTGAAGGCTTGCCATTAGTAAGTAAAAAAGCCACAGGCAAACAAATAGGATGGTCGTAGCCGCTTTCCAGGCCATAGGGCCGCCAAGCTCACCGCCGATGATTACCCAACGTCGGAGTAGTAGGATAGCGCAACAAAATCCGGCACAGATACAGAAAAGTGTCACCGAATAGGCAAGATCACCAGGGTCAACTCGGAACACTTCACCGTGCCAAGTGTGATGGGCAGCGGCGATGAACCAAGCGATACCAATTCCAAGGAAAACGTTAACTGCATTAGAACCCGTTACATTACCAATCGACGAATCGGCATATTTATCATTTATCGCGGCGACTTTACTGGCAAAAGTATCTATTGGGGCGGAAAAAAAAGGTTACGATCAACTCTGGACAAGAAAATGTGACTTAAAGAGTTAAAATCTTCAACTGACCTGGTACACTAGTACCAAGAGCGACAAATGAAATGGCCGTTAGACTGTCCTTTAAACCAACGGAGCAACCAAAATGGGAAGCACAATCACCAATAATTGCGGTCAAGGCACCAATCACAATAATGCTTGTTACGAAACAGGCCCAACCACCCCAAATATCTGTAAACATATCAAGGTCAAGGTTAATTCTGATAATAATCTTACTGGACACTGGTCAGTTTTATTTTTATAATTACCTGTGGGTGGTACAAAAGCAAATAATACTTTCCAAAATAAAGTTATAAAGTGCATAACATAATCTGAGCAAGAGGGCATTTTTTGTTCACCATCATCTTCACCATCATCGTCACCTAGTTGCATGATTAATTAGATTGATTTAGTTGAATATTAGCTGAGAGATTAGTAATATATCAGATTAAATCACTTACCTGGACTCACGGTTATCGCTTCGACAAACTGATCCCACCAAGATGAGGCTCCCATTATTGAGGTACTATTTTTTTGGAATAATTTATCAACAGTATTCTAATAATGGAGAAGGAAAAATTTTTGTTATTTAATTAGTTTAGTTTCAATTTTTCGACTTTAGTAATCAGCTAATTACCTTAAATTCTTTACTTTCTCTAACTCGAATTTCGATTTTCGATATTTCTCCTAACTTTGGGCGACCTTGCAGAGCGATCTCTTTCTCTTGGCGTGATAATGTTGACTTTGGAGATTCAGGTTCATCTATTGAATCAAAGATAAAATCAAAACAATCAATTAATCAATAACTTAAATATCTTCTAACAATCAAACTCACCAGATTCCAAAATTGGTTCACCCAATTCAATGTAAAAAACTTGATTTTTTTCGTAACTTTCATTGTCTATTATTTGAATGTCAATAAATTTACTATTTAATTGTAACAAAGAGAGAGAGAGAGAGAGAGAGAGAGAGATTGTTATTATTAATCAAATCGTTAAACTTTTCCGTTGAAAATTAATTTTTATTTCCATTTAATCAAAGAAATTGAAAAGAAAAGTTGATAATTCTATCACTAGATGGAGACTGTGTACAGAACTTTCTGTTAAGTTTACATTTTATCATTTCTTTTTCACTCTTGATATTTTATTGAATAGATGATTGTTTTTTAAAGAGATGTTGGGGATAATAGAGTTGAAAAAGAGATGATAATGTGTTCCAAGAAGGATAAATAAGCACGAGTTCATTTAATGTTCGGTTCAATGGATGAGTCATAAATCGAAACTCAAAAATTTTCTTCCAATGAAAATTCATTCGAGGAAAAGAAAAGAGAGATGAAGTGATGAAGAAATAACGGTAAAACGTGAAGAGAGAAAAGGAAAAAAAGGAACAGAAAATTCTCATCAATCAACAATTCATTTCTCGAGTTTCGCGAAAAAAAAACAACCAACCAAATGTGAAACACGAAAAGATCATGTTATCGAAAGAGAATTGGAATCATTGATAAAGATAAATAGGAATATGAATATTGGATAGATAGAGAAAAGAAAAATGTCAAAGAGACACTTTGATGGTTTCGATTAGAACTTTTTTTCACTTCGCTTTTAACTTTAAATTTCGAGATTAATGTTAAATTGATACGAAAGAAAATGATGATTATGCTTAAGATGAAGATAAGAAAAGATGATAAATAAAATGAAGAATGGTGATGATGATAAAGTGAAAAGGATAATCAGACAATAAGAACTTTATTATCAAGAAGATGAGAATCAACATTGTAGATGAAAATGATTAGGATCCAATCGGAATTATAATCATGAAAAGTTTGCGAACTCAAAGTGATGATGAGACAAAACTACGATGGAAAAGTTAATCTGAATTAATTGAATCTACTAGAAAATGGATGCAATTAATGATGAAGATAAATTGTTGGCTGATAAAACAATAGTTTCTCTTTGAAATCCAATTCCAGTAAATCATCTGATATCTTATTCAATCACAAGCCTCTAATATCAATTGACCTAGAAAACTAGGACAGTAAAGATGATTATTAGGATGATTGTTTATCGTCACCATGATTATCATCATTGTTGATCATCAGATCATGATAATAATTCATTTGAAAACCCAATCGCTTGATTAACTTGAAATTAAGAAAATCATTTGTTTCCAATAGCAAGACAATTGTATCATCGTCCAAAATTATTAAATTAAATTAAATATAATTCAATTACTTTGATGATCTTTTCTGGTTATTTCATCATTAAATTAATCAAATCACTAATTGTTGAAACAAACTAACGGTAAACAATTATTATTATTATTAATATCGTTAATCATCATCTAATTGTACTAATAATAAGCTGATTACGATGAGAATGATATTACTCTATGAATCTAATAGCTGTAAACGCTAATTGAATATTAATTATGATAACAATTAGTATTAATTATCTTTAGACAAATTAAGTGGGAGGAAAAGTAGTGAAAAAAAAAGTTTTTTTTTCCTCGAAACAATTAAATCGCTTGATTGTTTAATAATTATATTAACAGTTAATTGTTGTACCATAAATGAAGATAGTTAAATGATCATTACATGAGCAATTAAATTTTGTCAATTTTTAATTGTTTGTATGGTTTCAATGTGACAATTTCAATACAAAGTCAATAACAATTAACAAACATCCAATGTAGTTGATTAAATTTCAAAATTCTTGAAGGACTATCAACCTTTAATTTGTATTAACTGTTGAAAGTTTAATTATCACAATTAACAGTTAATTGATTATGACATTGAACACACCCAAGAATTAAATGAAAATATCAAATTGCCAACTAAGGAAAAAAGTTATAATAATAATCAGATTAAGAGATAATCATAATTATAATCATTAAGTAAATGAATTATTTTCAGTTGGACATGAAAGTTGATCATCAACTGATTGTAAGCTGAAACAATCAAGATAATCAAAGATAATTAATGTAATAATAACCAGCAATTTACTGTTAAGTATCATTGATGATAATTATTACCAATAGTAGATTATTATTATCATGAATCATTATCATTGATGTGATGATTAAGTAAATGATTTTAGGTCTCAATTGTAAATCAGATTTAAAATCAATCTCAATGGTGAAACTTTATTAATCATATTGAAAGTAATTCAATCAGATTGTTGAAAAAGTGTCAACAATTGAGTTTTATATTGTTTAACATTTTACTATATTTGTTAACTAGATGATAAAATAATTCAATCCAATTTGTAAATTGTTCAAGTGATTTATGTTTCAATGATGATAATATACTGAGATGAATTAATATCATGGAAACGATTACATGTAATATACATCAGCCATTTGAATATGAATATACAATTTCAATGGACCTCTTGAAAATCATGATGCAATTTATCATGAAAACGATGATATTAATAGTCATCATGACTCTGAATAGTTTCAACTGAATTTAAAACTATTTTTTTTTATTGTTCCCATTCACTGGTTATTATTATCATGCTATTAACAAATTGATATCTTTTTGATTACTGTGATTAAATATCTGAATGAAAGTTAGTTAGATAAAGACTGTTAATTCAGTTATTAAATGTTGAATGAATCATTATTACAACAATTGATCATCAATCAATTACTCTGACAATTTAAATGGTTATCTCATTAGTAGACCATGAAAAATATCAATTTCATTTCATGAAACATTTTAATTATTGCCTGTATATTATCATCAAAATTGCTATTAATTAACTATTATTATCATTGGAATTATAGTTGATAATTAATTGTTATCAAAATCGTTAACTGATGCTCATGATAATTCATTTGGTAAGTTGATTGGTGAAATTGTGATATATTCATCGCTATTATCAGAATTATCAGAATTATTATTGCAGAATTTGTCTCTCTATTCATCTTCTCATGATGAATAAACTATGGTGAGTTATTAATTTCTTTTGAGAATTTAATTCTTATATTCTGTTATCATATTTTCTTCCTATTCGCCTTTTTAGTTTCCATTGTTCCAATTGATTCCAATTCTGAATAAATCATTTGCTTGAGTGGTAAAAAGATAAAGCAATCAACAGAAATGTTTGAAACTGGAAATATTTTCAAGTTACAAACAAATTTACATACAATTTGTAATGTAAATGCAAAGAAATATATACAATTATCATTCAACTATTCAAAGTAAGAATCAGATTTTCCCTGATTAGTTCAGATTCCAAATAATTGATTCGCTGAATAGAAACAAAAGTGTGATATTAAATGAAAAGATTCACTTGATGAGCTTTACGAGCAACGAATCAAATTGACCGCCTTTTCCAGTCAATTTCAATTTCCACCGGTTAAGACTCAGCTGATTTCATGTGTTTATCTGTTATAATTTTAGAAAATTGAATCAAAATTTCGATAATCGTACAGTGATAAACAATTAACATGAGAGAAGTTATCTCAATGTTATTCAAGTTTCTCTCCGTGGAGATTGAAATTTGAGCATCACCATAATGAGTAATTACCATGTACATCCAGTATTAAGGGCATTTGACTCATGAAACAAAATCATTCACCATGAGACTAATGAACGACAATGTTCAGAGTTCATGATGATGGAAAGAAAATCGTATACACACAACAATGTAACCGATTTTTTTGCTCATCTCTTTCGTAGAAGGAAAAAATCTCTCATTCAGAGCGAAACGAAAGGTAAATTTTCTGGATGAAAGTGAGAAGATAATTTTGATTAATGAATCACCCTGAAGAGAGATAGAGATAGAGACAGAGACAGAGTATGGAACTGAAAATCCACTTGTAACATGAATATTTAGTCTTTTTCATAGTTGATTCAGTTGTTTTCATGATGAAATTTTCTAACATTTTATATATTCAATTATTTCCAGTGACATGTATTCAAATTATAATGGGAGTAAATGGGTGAAGGAGCAAAAAAGAAATACAATTTTGTACAATATCTTTCATTAGATTTTAATCTTGACACAATAATTTTTTTCTTCTTTTCCTCGTTCATTTTTTATTCTGCTCATGGTGAAAAGTGGGAAAATCATCTAAGCTAATTTGTCTATCATCCAGTGAACCAACAACCCACCACCAGCATTCATAAATATAATGAATTCAGCAGAAATTTTCATCAAATGATTGATATTTATATTATATTTATCATGTGGATCATAATCATCATCATCATCCTTTATCTTTATCATGAAAATGTTCAATTTCACCTTTATCATGAATCTTGTTCCATTTTTTTGTGTTCCTTTTATTTCATCGTTCTGATTAAATCATAAGCTTGAAAACCCCATGGATCAGATAAGTGGAGTGGGTGAAAACTTGAATGAAACATGAAATTAAGATTCTCCAAGATTTTGATGGATTAACCAGAACAAAAAAAATAAACCATCAGAATAAGGAAGTAAACAAAAAATAAGATTGAGAACATGAAACATATTAATCTGATTGGATTTATATTAATGAATGAAAATCATCATAATAATAATTACTGAATGAAATGGAACTCAGGAAAATCGTATATTAATCTTTGTGATAATAATTTGATGCTGTAAATGAAATTCATCAATTCCAAAGGATTTAATTTCCACCCCCTCCGCCCATTGATCATTAACATTGAGTATTAATAATTGGAAGGCGTAACTGAATTAACACAAATTCCAAGTGAAAGATAATTATAATCAAGATTCCAAGATTAATCTTTTCCGTATTCTATCATGAAGGTTTGAGATGAACGAGAGAGAGGCGGAGAGAAAAAAGTTCTGATATTATCGAAATGGACTGAATTCAAAGGAATTAGAAAGTTTTGATCTAATCTCTTGTTTGTTTGGTTCTAATTTTTTTGCTCATCTTAATTTAGTTAGTCAATTAACATGTCCAACTAATCA